AAATTTAGCTATTTTAAATAATAGCTATGAACTTCTGTGTAGCTTTTCACCCCTCACAATTCTATAACTATTCAAAAGAATACATTTGTAGAAGTAGAATTTTTGGAAGAAAAATATATGCAAAATCAAAGCATGAGATATGTTTTATAAAGTTATTCTTTAAAATAAAACTTACAAATTTATATACCCATAGGTAGCTTATAGGAATCCACTGAGACTTTCATCAACTGTAAGAAGTACAGTTATTTGCCAATTTAATTAGTGAAAGGTATCATGACCTAGTTCCTAATGTGTTTCCTCAATTTAGACAAATCAGTGAAATTTCTCTGGTCATTTACTCAGTACAGGGATCTCAATACTAGAAGTGACATTAGACTGAGTTAGGAATGTACCTTAGGACCACCTATGGAGGCTTTGGATGCCAAGCAGAGGTGACTAGATTTTATTAGGTGGACCAGTTGTTCTCAAGGGATGGTACTACATTTGTAAGCAGTATCTTGAAAATAGGTGCAAATATTTTTAATTTTAATGGTGTTTGGGGATTACTATTGGAATTCAGTGAGTGGAGACCAGACACTCCAGCTGCCCTCAATGTGTAGGGCAACCTTGAGCACCAAAGAACTGGCCCAGGACTTGCCCAACTTTCAAATATTCTACTGAAAATTCAGGAGATGAAAATCCTGATTATAATCATTCAAGCCCTTCAGATAACTCTATTTTCCATGCAATGTCAAATACTCTGTGCCTATTTTTTTTTAAACCACTGTTTTTTACTACCACGTAAAATATATTTTCTTCAGAGTTTTATGAAGATCTGTGCATCATTTTAAAAAATATTTAATATCTTACCTTTATTTTGTTAATTTAGATTTTTTTTAATGTGGTGTTGTGAACCCATTGCCTCATGCATGCTAGGCAAGTCCTCTACCACTGAGCCACAACCCCAGCCCTATGCACCATTTGAAAATTATATTGCCATTACCACACCTTTCTTGTTATTTGCATCACCAACATCACCCATTTACAAAGTTTGCATTTGTGTATGGCTTACACTCACTATTTCTAAGAATATGTACAAGAATCTTATCGCTTCTACATGTCTTGTGATATTGTCATACTCAAACTCTGATGTGATAAAAAAGCATTTTCATTATAAATGGATTTCTCCTTTATACTACATATGAGGTCTTATACAGTCTTTATGAAATTATGTATATAAGTAAACCATAAGTAAACCATATTTTCTATTGGTTTCATCTTAGGAGGGTAAAGAGAACATTATTTACTATGAAGAGTGGTCATTAGGTCTGACAGGTTTAAAAATGGCTGCTTCAAAGAATGGGGAGCAATTCAGAGTCTTCTAGCAGGAGAGTGAAGATAAAGCAAAGCTTCAGGTAGGAAAAGAATGACTTTATGGCAGGTGTGGTGGCACACACCTGTAATCCCAGCGACTGGGGAGGCCACGGAAGGAGGATAACGAGTTCAAAGCCAGCCTCAGCAAAAGCAAGGCACTAAGCAATGCAGTGAGACCCTGTCTCTAAATAAAATACAAAATAGGGCTAGGAATATGGCTCACTGGCTGAGTGCTCCTGAGTTCAATCCATAGTACCAAAAAAAAAAAAAAAAAAAGGAATGACTATGACATTTGCCATAAAATGGATGGATCTGGAGACTATCAAGCTAAGAGAAATAAGGTAATTCCAAAAAACCTAAGGTTGAATGTTCTTTTTGATATGTGGATGCTAAAATACAACAAGGGGAGGAGGGGAAGAATAGAAGTTCAACTGATTAGACAAAGGGGAGTGGGCAGAGGGGAGGGGGACAGGAATAGGAAAGACAGTGAACGAGTCTGACATATCTTTCCTGTGTACATAGATAAATATACCACAGTGACTCTCCACATCATGTTCAACCATGAGACGGGGATCCTAATTAAAATAAGATATACTCCATGTTTGTGTGAATAAGTCAAATTATACTCTACTGTCATTTATAACTAAAAAGAACAAAAATTTAAAAATTAAAAGAAAATAAATTGGAGAAAGCATGGCAGGAGGCAAAGGGACCAGAAAAGAGGCAAATACAATCTAAACAGGGAGCTAATGAAGATCTAGGATATCATAATGCCTAAAAGAATCAGAAAGAAACACATTCAGGGAGGACATCTTAAGAAGAGAAGTCACTGGAATTCAGGGCTTGAATATCCTTCAGTATAGTGTCACAGAGTAACTGTCAAGGTATCAGATGCAGAGTGACTGTTCTCAAAAACAGTCACATATGTGCACACATATTTGCAAGCACACACACCCATTTGTGTACACCAACACTCCAAACTCAAACTCATTATCAAATAATCCCTCCCCCTTCTCCTGACAAAGGGAAGACTTATCACAACCAGTGATTCTGAAATCTGACAGCACAACCTGACACTAGTGTGAATCTAAGGGGCAAAGCCTTATTTGGTTTATTTATTTGTTTGTGATTCTCCATCCAAAGTAAATCCTGAAATAAATTTCAAGTGTGCATTAAGTACACTGCGGGTTGTAAATCACATACTTGTACTACAGTAAGCAGAAAACCATAGAGATCAACAATAGATATAGATACCTCATATCCACATTACCACATTCATGCACATGCACCCACACAGAGAAAGACAGAATAATAGGAAACTCAGAACCCGAAGAACAACAATAATTTGTGTGCAGCATTCCTTGTTTTTAATCAAAAGCATCCATGAGAATTAAAATTATATAATATTAGATCAGACAATAAGAAAAGATGGTTTAAAATGGCAGAAAAGTATTTCCAAAATGGAAAGATGGATAGGAACCAGAAGAAGATTGGGTATTAACCATAAGAGAAACGATAAAAGAGAATGTCTCACTTCATGTTTAATCTCCATTTAAGTTAAAAGTATATAATATTTTGAATTCTCTCATTTCAATTTCAAATTTTCTGAAAATAGAAAGTAATATAATGAGTGAAAAATATCCCCCAGTACAATGAAATGATCTGCTCATTTTCATCCTTACCTGTGCAATACTACTGAGTCAACAAAACACAAAAATCACACTGTCCATTTGCTTTCTTAGAAATCAAAAAATTATTTCTAGTTTAGTGAGAAAGATGGCAATCATATCTTTCTCATCTGGAAGCAGTTTCTCTCCCCACCCTGTCAAAAGTCACCAGTCGCATTCTATCAAAGTAAAAAATGTGCCTCTAAACCTCACTATTAAATTCTCACATTGTCCAGTTCCTTCTTCTTTTTATGGATTACTTACCATCTGAAATGTATTCTTAAGCACTTTCCTGTTTGTGCTGTGTGACAAAAATACAAGACAAATCCCGAGGACTATGCTAACCACCTGAAATGGATAGTGAAGTGCTTGTCTAGGCCCAGACACAGGTAACAACAGCCACCTCTCCTCATTTTTGCTGCCTGACCTCAGGTTTGATAATAGGTGGAATATGTATTAGTCATCTACTATGTCCCAGTGCAGGAGGTGTAATGCATCATGAGGAAACAGAAAATGACCTGCGGCAGGTAAGACTAGAGATGGATATGGCTGAAAGGCAAGGCAAGATATTCTTTCTCTTAATGTCAGGGCAAAAATTCCAAGCTCTTTATATTGGAAGAGAAAGCCCCATAACCCTGCTGCTTTTCTCTCCTCTCCCATCACTTTTCCTATGCACCCCTATGGTGTTGAACCCCATCCTCCCCACCTGAACCTCTGGGTCTTTGTGCTGTGATTCTTCTTGGCATGAATGTCTTTACAATTGTTCTTTGTCTAGCATCCGTGTGTTGTCTAATACACAGCTCTAGGGATGCATGCTGAGGAAGATGTTCTTTCCACTTTGACTGCAAACAGAGTTTATCTCCATTTACTGGTTGTCTCTTTACTCAATGCCTCCTTGAACATGAACTTCTCAAGGGCAGAGACAAAGCTCTTGGATGTTTGTATCTCCAGAGCATAACACAGTGAGCACTCAGTCAATGTGCACTGTTGCCTGACAGATAAGTCTGTCCTTTCCTTCAAAGGGCATGTAGGAGGGCTATCACTATAAAAGTTATTAAAATAATTATTGTTTTCTCCATTGAGGAGAGTAAGCAGATTGCAAGTCAGAGCCTTTTACTAACCAAGGGCATGGAGTCTTCTGCGTGGCTTGGGAGGGAAGACACAGGGATAAGGGATTGTTTAAGTTTAATGGTACCAAACCATCTTGAGTTCTGATGCTACAACATCCCTATGGGAACTCTCAAGTTCACTTTCAACATAACATTATGTTCATACTGCAGGGGGTGGGATCAAGTAGTCTTGGCTCATGAGACTTCAAAGTTCTTGGATTCTGGATTAGAGGCAAGATAGGCAAGGTGTGGATGAGACACAGCTGGCCCTGGAGTCTAGACTTCTCCCTACTCTAGATTTTCAGTTCTCAACAGCTGGGCGTGGAGACACTTTTAAGCACATTCTGTTGGGTGATTAACTGAAAACCATTCCTGGAATTTCTTTCATTTTCTTCCTGGGAGCTCTTGGGTGTAATGCACAGGACTTCATTGGTGAAGAGGACAAATGCTGCACACTTAGAAAGGATGTCAGATTGAGACTTCTAACATTATTTCCAACTGAGGGGATGCAGCAATCACTGAGATGCTCCCACTGAGCTGAGAGCAGGAGCTGTTCCTCACACAACTTTCACCTTTGTCCTGTTTGTTACCAGACCACATTTTCTGTACCCTGGGAAACAGAACTTCTAACTAATTCTCCACTCATCTTGCAAACAGCACAATTTTGTTTTGAATTTGAGTGTGTACCTCAAGTGTTGTTGATTTGTTAGATGGAATCATTTGACAAGTTGTTATTTTCTAATACAGTAGGAGCCACCTCTTGGAATCTTCAAGAGGCCACAACAAGTACAGAATTATCTATAGCATCAACAGACATGATCATTGAGTTTATCTCATTAGAAAGAAAAAATATAATTTCCTCATTACTTACCAAATGGAGTTTTTCCCAGAATTCTGGTCCTTCTTCCATCTCTCTAAGGCTTGGTGGAATGTACCAAAAGCAAATATTGGCATATTCAGGCTGAGGATTAAGAAAATTTGAAAATTTCCTTACTACTTTAAGATTTAGAATACAACAAACAAATACTTCTTAAATTCTTAGGTCATCTCTTTAAGAGTTATCTTGTGTGTATAACTTTGATAATAAGTCAGAATCTTATAGAGTAGACATCCATCTGACTAATTTCTAACAACAGCCTATTAGTAAATCTTTTTCCCCATGTTTGCACCTAGGAGATTCTCTTACATAAAGGTGGGTACAGACCATGAACGTGGAGCTGACTCAAAGCAGTGCTGACCATCAATCAGTGCCTGATCGACATATGCACAGGACCTTCCTTTTCAACAGTGATCCTTAAGTTATTTTTTTTTCACCACTATATCCTTCCAAAATTTCTTTTGGCAGCTAAAATTAGCCTTTTGTTACTAGCTGTACCTGATAAATACAAAAGCCCTGTGAATTGATAGCAGTGTGACATACTTGGGCTTCACTAGCCAGCACTGCCACAACCCTAGCCAATATTTCTAAGGATAAAAAGGAGAAGACGAAGGAGGAGGACAAAGAGGAGGAGGAGAAAGAAGGAGGAGGTAACAATGATAATGATATCATCTTGACTCCTGGCTCTCAAACTTCAGTAAAAATGTGAATGAACCAGGGGGGTCCAAGTTCCTGTGCTCAGACCCAGGGTCTGATTGAGGCTAAAGAGCTGACATCTTCTAAAGTGGGTAGTATGTGATCTATGTTTGGGAAAATGGTATGAACTATGGGCTCTAGTTCAGTTACCTTTCCCACCAGCCTGTTTTCCTATCAGACATGATGTGGTTAAACACCGGATGATGTTCCAGAACAGGCTTCAACCCAGCCATTATCACAAACCATGCTTTGTCCTCACTAAACCATATAACAAGAGCCATGACAAAGGCAATCATAATAACCAGGTGATCTGAGACATTATGTTGGGGATTCACACATTGGACACCTGGAATTATATTTGGGAAAGAATACTCTTCATTTGAGGCTTATCACTGACAGTATTTGAAAGGACTTTCATTTTTCCATGACAAATACAGTTGGCAGATAACCAATGTGAGGATAGTTCTCAATAACCATCAGAATTATGCATGAATGTCAGTACAAAGCACAAAGAGCGAGCAAACAACTATCACCTCATATCTTAACATCAAGACCGATATCATATAGAACTCTGATTTTAGTGGATGTTAAGGCACAAGTGAGTGCTCGGGAATATTTCCAGCTTAACAAGAACATTGATCTGATCACCCTTTCATCTTTAAAAATTTTAACATTCCTATTAGATATGACAAAAAATAGAGTTACAAATCTTCAAAATATAGAGTAGTTAAAATGAAGTACTATGTAATTGAACTCAATTTCCACAAACATTTATCACGAGACTACAATAGATTTTTAAAGTCTGCATAATTCACACTTGGATTTCTGATTTATAATTGATTTGGTTACTCTCAGCTAGAATGTATTGGGCTTCCGACTTCTTTGATCACTTAATGTGAATAAATCTTTCCAAATAAAGTAACTATGATTAGAAAGTAAAAGAAAAATATAGTTAACCGTTACTAGACTCTAGGATTTTATGTCTGTATATCAAAGAGGACTTTTCCCCCAGATGCCATTTATGTCAGCTATACATTTATTGCCTTTCAGTTCCAAATCCACCCTCTCTTGGTGTCCTGCAGTAATGGAGGTGGAGGGTGCTGGAGGTACACTGGAGAAGGAAGTGGGTATGTCTTCCTGGTTTGGTATGCAAACTTCATTGGCCTCCTGAGGAGTCTGTGGTTCTTTTTAGCAGCAAAGAGCTCCAGGTGCATTCTCCCCTCAAACGGCATCATAGCCAACTGGTATGAATGGTATTTCCCGTCATATGTCCCTCAGGTAGTTTCTTGGAGGAGTGACACCAGCCAAGCGTCTGGCTTTGCATGACTTCTCTAGTCACCCAGTGGGTAGCCTGCAAGGAGCTCCAAGTGATGGCACCTCTTTGGAGATGGCTTCCCTCAGTACTCCAAAGGGTGATGCCGAGCAAATCCTGCCAGTGTTACATGATGTCAGTGAACTTCTCTGAGATCCTGTGCACTATTGGTGACACCTCTCCAAGAAGGCCTGGATCTTTGTCTGGGAGAGGGGAGACAGAATACCTCTTCCTCAGGTGCTCTGTCTGGGTCCTAGGAGTAGTGGATGCTCCCTATATCAGTATTCCTGTTCTGTTTGTTTGTCTTTGTGGTGCTGGGGATTGAACTAAGGGACTTGTATATGCTAGGCAAGCACTATGCACTGAGCTACATGCCCAGCCCCGACTCCTGTACATTTTTAATTTCTCTTTCTTTCCTATGAGACAATTCCTCATGACTGTTAATAATCCCCCATCTCTCTCTCCCTCCTCTTGCCATATATATATATATATATATATATATATATATATATATATATATATCCTTCCCACTTGAAATTATCGGGCAAAAGTTTTGTTCTTCTAAATAGACCCTGATTAACATATCATTAACTATATTCATTTGATTTTCTTTATTTTCATGAGAATATTATAAAATATTTTATAACAACTTGATCTGGTACAAAAGATGCTATATTTCACAATTTGAGGCCTAAACCTTGTAAATTTATTCCCTTTAGTAAGTTTCTGTTTAGATATTTTGGTAGTGACATTTCTGTGATTCCTTTTTCCCATTCTCTTTTAGAATGGGATGATTTCAGTGCTAAAGACATTTGAAAACCTGTAAAGCTCTTTTGACACTTCATTTCATTGGAAGAAATTTGATGCTCCATTTGGTGGAATACCTTCACTTTAATCATTTCCAAAATTACTGAGAGTTGAAAGACAGTCTCTGAATGTTCACTAAGAACATATTTGAGTTTTTCCCCTGTCTCTTTCACGCTATAGCTTGTATTTCATACACTGGCTTTCTTCAAGACACTTCAAAGCTCTAATGAGTATTTCCAGAGCAGAACCATTCACATGCCACTTAATTTTAATTCCCTTCCTATATGAAAGTATGACCTCTTGGGTATCTTGGGAAAACGCTTAGTCTATGTTCTTTAAAAACCATAAAAATGGAAAGACATAAAAAGGAATTCATCTCTGTCGTGCAGGGTACAAAAACCCTGTAGCAACAAGAACACTGTCATAATCTTTAAATTGCCATTAGAGAAAAAATGAATCTATCCTGATTTTCAAATAGGAAAAAGAAACAGATATACTCCAAGGTGCTTTCATGTGAATCCCAGGATGGATTATTGAGTAAATGATAAGAGACCACTTGAGAAATCAATTCATGGTCACCAAGAGATGACAGTTCAGTAAAACTGAGTCATATAAAAGGAGTCATCCCCTTCGTTTGCAAAGTCATTAAATCAGAATAGTAGTAATAAAAACAAATCGAGTCCTATGCATTTTAATAAGTATGAATGTGAACTCCAGCACACAGATTCAAATAATCAATCAGGCAAATATTGAATGAAGGCAAGCTGGAATGGTGGATTATAGCTGACTTCAGTCTTCCAGGTTTTAAATAAGATTGGACTACTGAAAAATGTCAAAGGCAGGCTTAGGTAGTACAAAAAGCATGGGTTTTAGACTCATAAGGATGTGGGGTTGAATTCCAAAAGATCTTTGCTTGAATATGGACACATGTTCTAAGTATCTGCTTTCTAAACTATAATACAGAGATGGAGATGGTATTGTCTATACTACAGCATGGGTCTGAGGAACAGAAAGATAATTTATTTTCAGTATTTGGTACCACATCTGGCACACAGTTGCACTCTATTATATTATTTGGGGCCATATTGGTAGAAAGAGATGACTTTTCAAATGGATACACCGCCTCATTAAAATCAGTTGAGATATATTACTGTGTTAATTTCTGGGTAGCATATTTGAAAGGGAACACTAAATCTTGCAGAGTATCCACAGAAGGCCAACTAAACAGTACTACATAATAATCAGAATTTCCTATACTATGAATAGTCCAGAATTTCCTGGACTATGCATTGGGATGAGAACATGACTTAGTATACTCACCTCTAGAAATTCAGATGAAAGTTAGGGAGCTAGATGAGGCAGATAAACTACAATGGAGTGAGCATTACAGAAGAAGGATATATATATATATATATATATATATATATATATATATATATATATA